AGTATTGATCTGATCTGTTTAAATTAATAATGTTAACATTTTTTTATCAGATATTTCCCATCTTTTTGGGTCCCTATCTTCTTATTACGATTATTATTATTATTATCGATTTAAAGAGAAAATTTTATAAGAGTCGAAGTCGAGTCGATTATGAGCATGACTTATACATGACTTGTAGCAAGACATGTGGCTCACACATGTTAAACCAAACCCAAACCAATAAGTGTTGTCAATGTCAAATATCAAATGGTTCACGACTTGAAAATCACACGATATCTTTAATTTTAAAAAATTGTTTTATGATTTCTTATATAATCTCATGAGATCAACTTTTGCTTCGTTTTGTTTTGTTAATTTTCTACTTTATTATAATTTTTCCATTAGGACTTTCTGGTGAAGCCACCAATTTAATTAATCTTTTGTCCTATCTATACGAATTTGACCTAGCCATCGAATTCCACTATTTATTTATATATCAATTATAATTAGCTCATATATATATATATATATATAAATTGTAATCAACCGATTACTTATTTTAATGGTTGACTTTTAATTTCTTTTTTATTTATATAGTATAACTTTGGGTGTTTGGGTTATATAAACACACATGTTCTCCTTCTCCGTAAGAAAATGAAAGTCTAATTTGAATTTTGATTAATTATTCAAAGTAATATTGATGTAGATAGCTATCGGCCATCCGCATTTGGCCTATTGGTAAAATATTGTACTATTAGTTTTAGTACTTAAAATTCGATTCCTAATAGTTCCAAGTACAAATATATGTACATATTGGTGTATATAAAGTATTTTTATCTCCTAAAAATTACTCAATAAACAAACATTTTAATTTTGTTACTAATTAATAGATTTTCTCATTTTCAATATGATCATGAATATTGCACCTCGGTTTTATCTACGTGAATAGGCAAGGCATGAATTCACCGATCGATGATATGAATGAGGATATATAGTATTAGGTGCAAAATTTATGAATTTTACCATAATCCACGCAAAAAACACACATGAAGTCGCTGAATATATATGTAAGACTAGGAAATTTTAAACTAGTAATTGCGTATATATTCCTCCATTTTTGATAATGTAAATTACTCCAATATTCTGAAAATGAATTATAAAGACATTTCGGAATCCGGAGATCAGGTTTTGGCCTTTAATTTGGCAATAATAACATTTCTCTTTAATCGGTTCTGATCAATATTAATTGAATGCCCAAATTTGAGCTAACGAATGGTTGATTCCAACTTGAGCATGACAAATTTGTGATGCAGACTCTAAAGATATATAACTGGTACTGCTATTTACTCCATTAATTTTAAAATTTAAATACTTAGAGAGAGAGAGAGAGATAGAATATAAAGGCCGATTTATATATTAAGGTGAGCTGCAATGAAATAAAGATAACTCAACATGCTACTGCTACATGAATATGGTTGGATTAACCATGTCAATTGGCATATATTAATAGTAACTACATGAACATAGTTAGTTAATATGTCCCAATACGAAGGAAGTCCTGAAAAATGATCATGTACGGCAGAATAATTCAAAACCCAAAATGTCAATACGGGTGGACTGGATCTCGATGCGCATTTATATTTCAGCTTTTTACATTTATTGAGAAATGTCTCCCATGCATGCATCCATGCATATATATATATATATATAGAGTAAAATATAACTGCAACTTCAACATACAATAATATGATATCAGATGTCATGCATCATTTACAAAAGCTAGCGCAGTCATTAGTATATATATCTTCTTGATTTCCGTCTTTGAATGAAATTCATCGATCCATCATTCTGCATATAATATATTTATGCATATATGCATATACTTTCCGTATGTATATAGATACACATATTAACTGTCCCTGGCCGGCATGCCCCTTCTTAAAATTCAGATGGCAATAATTAAATCTGCTCATCTTAATCTTTCATGTGCGATGCATTTAATCAATTATTACTAATATTATATACTCCCGCCGTCCCATATTATCTATCCACTTTTCCCCTAATAGAAGTGGACAGATAATATGGGACGGAGGGAGTAGTATCTAATTAAACAAATAATTTCGAAAAAAACCATATGCCATTGAGTTTCTTTGCGGCGGATGGCCATTTCTGTATGGCTAGGCGATGGACGCCTTTTTTTTTTTTTTTTAATTAAAATTGCCCAATACCTTTGTACCTCGTAGGCTATGACGATACTAAACATTTTTTTAAAGAAGAAAAACAAATTTAGATACGAAACAAACGAAAAGAAGACCATTAATGTTATCATCAAAATGGCTTCTGACTTTGTGGTTGGTAAGTAAGACCATATAACAGCTGAAATCAAATGTCATTTTGCCAAAAAAAATATCGTAATTTATATCATCAATATTCTTCTTCCTTTTATTTTCTTTGAAGTGACAATTCCTATTAATTAATTAGTCAATTTGATTTATTGGATAACGGTTGCTTTTAATGGGCAAAATTTTTCACAAAGTCCAAAATTAACCACGGAAAAGCAGGCAAATTTGAATTTGATCTTGATGGTCTTCTTGAGGGAGTAGATCTTGATTAATTTTTGAGTCAAAACGCAAATTTTTACTATTTTAAATATTTTATATTCGTCATATAAAGATATTTTTATGTTAATTAATTAATTAAGCTAATTTAAGAAGATTAACTAACTTAACTACGACTATGAAATAACTCGTACGTCATTTGCCATAAGTGCCATTATGCATCTTCTACTAAAAAAAACCCTAGCCATTCCCCACCCTCCTTCTCTCTCAGCCTCCTTTCTTCAAAATTTTGTTTCCTTCTCCTCCTCCCGACTATTTTGTCAAGGGGGAGGTGGAGCCTGATCTTTTTTACTTTTATTTCAGAATAAAGTCCTCAGATCTATTGATCCGTCGGGTTTAGTCAGTTTTTTGAGTCAGTTAAGTCAGTTCAGTTTTTTTTAGTCAGTTAATTTGAGTCTGAATCTGACTTTTGTCCAGTTTTTAGTTTGCAATAAATTGAAAACAGTTTGCCTTGTCAGAATGGTTTTTCTTTCTGATCAAAGGGTGGGTGCTGATGATCCTCGAATTAGCTACTTTTTTATCGCTGTTGAAAGCTTTTTCTTGGATTTACCGAGAAGCAAATTCGATGAAGTGGTGGACATGCGAAAGATTTATGAAGAAGGTTCGAGATTCCATATAATCATCAAGATGACTCATCTGATCACGGAGCAAGACCCAAATCTAGATCTAAGACAAGAGTATTCTTCTCAATTTATTGTAATTATGAGTATTATCTTTGTAATTTCATTTTTATAAATGAAAATTGCAATTTTTCTTCAAAAAAGAAGTTTTTTTTTTTTGGACGTCAACTTAATTTCAATACTAGCAAGTTTCCTTCCATCGGTTTTATGGAAAAAAGGTGTTTTTTGGCCTACATTTTTTACGGTTAATTATTACAGGTTGGAATTGAATACAAATGAAATCACACGAGCAAGAAAATAAAATCTTTTTACCATTTTTTAAAAAATATATGGAATATAAGGGTATGACTTATGAGATTGTGCGAATTGAAATGGTTAATCAAAGACAAATGAATTTAATTAGGACTCAAATAAAATTCAAAATAACGTAAATTTAAGAAGGAGGTAGTCAAACAACAGCTAAAAGAGTTGAAAGGAGAAAGTCCACTTAGATTGGCAAAATTATGAATTATGACTGATTTTGGACATTGAATCAAAAGGTGGTCCCCAAAATTTAAATTTGTGTTGGAAATATGGACCCAATTGAATTTGACTAAAATTTGTAGATATAATATACCAAAATTCTACTGCTAGAATTTCAATAATTAAGGAGAGGAATTGGTACAACAGCAAGACACCTGTACGTACCACAATTCACCTAACCCTTGTGCATGTCCCATATATATATATATATATATATATATATATGATAAGAACATTAATTAATGGGGACATTATTTTAAAATTGTCATTAATACTAATAATCTTCTTCGTCTAGCAAGATTAGACGACAGAAAAAACTTGTTTTTATCTGGTCAAGAAAACAAACAAAGAGAAAGTTGTAGTATTAAGTTTAAGTGCATGCACTATATAGTTTTGGGGCTCTTCATTTCTAGATTAAACTTTGAGAAAACGACATAAATAAAATAAAAAGTAAACTATGGTTTGTGTTTCTGTTGTTTTCCCTGCAATTTGATCCCATGTCCATACGTACCAAAGTTGCAATTTGCAAATGATGAAATGAATTTTATATTATGAGAAAAAGGTTGCAATTTGCAAATGATGAAATGAATTAAAAAGAAAGGTTGCAAATTGCAAAATGTGGGGCTTTTTTCTTCTATTTCTAAAACAAAAACAATCATGTGTGTTTTACTACTTCTACTAGTTAGTAGTTATGAAGGTGGCCTAGCCCTATGTATACAGCCTTTTGGCTTTTATGGCTAAAGGCTCCACCACCACGCGTTTATGTCTTCCCTCTGGACCTTCCCGTACCCGACCTGTACCTTTCGCTCAACTTTATACCTTCACCACTATCTCTTTCGCGCGTTCATCCCACGCCTATCTTTCACGTATTTTCTTATTTGTATATATTTTTCTTATTCTACTATATATAGAATATTTTTTTTGAAAAATAGGATTTATTAAAGAAGAGAAAATAGGGGGTACATAGGGGTGCCTCATTAAAACCTTCAAAAGGAAAAACCCTGTGGGAAAAATCCAGTTGAAGGAAAAAGAGTACACCCATCCCTAAAGATTACAAAGACCGAAAGGAAACACCAAGAACAAAAAAGAGCCACACAACAGACAATTGGCTCAATCAAAAACATGACACTGCTATTGAAACATCCACTAACAACTAGCAGGAGCACACCCCCGTGAAGAGCTCAACACAAAAGATACAACCATAATCAGCAAATCCCCCCCAGGAACCTTGCTAGAAGACTTTCAAATAATCCAAGTTTCTTTAAACTCCACTTTTGGCAAGTGCATCAGTGGCTGTATTTTGTTTTCTAGGAATATTAACGATCGACAGAGAAGAGATTTTTTCTTTAAAGAAAGCAATTGATATTGCATAGGATCGAAACCTCCAAGGGACAACGAAAGGATTTCTAGCCCATCCACAAGCATTCGACGAATCAGATTCCAGAATAAGAGGGTGTGATGAAGCCCAAGAAGATGTCGAATATATAAGGAGGGCTTCTCTAATGGCTCGCAGTTCAGCTTCATTAGACTCAATCATACCCACTGACTTAGAGAACTCCAGTAAACTTTTACCATCATGATCGCGAAGGATTCCTCCTATTCCACCAGGTCCTGGTTTTCCCTTTACTTAACCATCAACACTGAATTTCAGATAACCATTCGGGGGCTTAGTCCATGAAGAAAGCACCGCTGTACTTCTAACTCCTCTACCCACTGAGATGGTTGTAATATTTTCAGGACATCTTATGATATCAGAGATAGATAGGGGGATTTTCGGCCACTTCGCTTTGATCCAATAGGCCAAACGGACTTTAATAATCTCAACAAGCTGGTTGTTATTCAGTGAAGAGTTAGAGAAAATTACCTCATTCCTACGCAGCCAAAGGGACCAAAGGATCGCAAAGAACAGCAGCTTCCAAACTTCGAAAGCAGGAATGTGGAAAGCAGGTTTCAACCAAGAAAGGGTAAAGGATTTGGCATCATAAGGTGAAGCCCACGAAACATTCCATTGTTTGCAGAAAAAGGACCACACCTCCCAACTGCTATGACAATTGAAGAAAAGATGATCAATTGTTTCATGTTCATTAGGGCATAGAGAGCAAAAAGCCTGATCCTGTCTCAAGATGTTTCTTTTAGCCAACTCGACTTTGACTGCTAATTTTCCATGTATAATCTGCCATAGAAGAACATGCACTTTTGGGGGGGCAAGATCAGGCCAGACTAATTTCCAGATATCAAAGTGGTTATCAGCCTGCAATAGACAAGATTTACAAAAAAAGGAAACCGAGAAGTTCCCACTACTATTAAATCTCCATATAACCTTATCAGCAAAATTCTCATTGACAACAATGTCCCTGATGCATTCTTGAAAGTTTTCCCATTGTTCAATCTCCCAATTAAACAGGTTCCTTCTCAATCTGATTGACCATTTCCAATCTGAATCATCCAAGATTCTTAGATCAGCAATGCGAGCTTCCTTGTTAGTAACAAGAGAGAAGATTCTTGGGAATTGGATGTTTAGAGGTCTATCACCGATCCAATGGTCATAACAGAATTTGATGTTTTTACCATTCCCCACAATCAAAGCCATCCCATAAGACAGAGACACCAAGTCGTTTTGCTCATGTCGTCGATGTATAAGAATATTTTTCCAAATAGGTGAGCATTTACTTGCTGATTCAAGTCTTGGCTGCAAGTCCAGAGGGTTAAGCTTGCCTTTCTCCACAATGATTTTCCGCCACAAGGAATCCTTCTCATTTCCGAAGCGCCACACCCATTTTTTAAGCAGCCCTCTATTTTTAATATCCAGGTCAACAATGTCCAGTCCTCCATTTTCTTTAGGTTTACAGACTTGGTTCCAATTAACATAATGGAGTTTCTTTTGACTATCCGAGCCTCCCCAAAGAAAGCGGCGCTGAATTTTATCAAGTTCTACTTTGACCATAGCAGGAAGAGGGAAGAGAGACATGTAGTAGATTGGAAGGCTACTAAGCACATCACAGATTTTATTAAAGTAATTCGCCCTGCAATAAAGAGGTGGTGCGCCTTCCAAGAAGAGAGCCTAGACCTGAATATTTCGATAACAGGCCGCCAAATAGCCACTGAAGAATGCCGAGCTCCAAGAGGAAGTCCCAAGTAAACAGAAGGAAGATAATCAAATTTACAACCAATATCATTAGCCCACCCTTGCAGAGAGGAGTCATCCACTCCAATCCCATAAAGCCTGCTTTTGTTGAAGTTCACTTTCAATCCGGAAACCAATTGGAAGCAAATAAGAACATTTTTCACATTCCTAATCTGTTCAATACAAGGCTCACAGAAAATAACAGTATCATCGGCATATTGAAGATGGGAGATGGAAAGATTGCTATTACCGATTTGAACCCCTTTGAAAAGATTAGAGTTTGCAGCATTCTCCAGCATGACATTGAGCATTTCCCCAACTAAACAGAAGAGGTAGGGGGATAAAGGGCACCCTTGTCGCAAACCTCTTTGCATACCAAAAAGGCCTGCAGGAACACCATTTACAAGAACAGATAAAGTAGCAGTAGAGACACAGGATTCCATCCAACTGATCCATTTAGTTCTAAAACCAAATTTACCAAAAGTGAAACTCAAAAAACCCCAATCCACCGAATCATAAGCTTTTTCAAAGTCCACCTTGAACAGAACACCACCCGTACCCCTTCTTTTGATGCAATCAATAGTTTCATTGGCAAGTAAGGCACAATCAATAATCTGTCTACCTTTGATAAATGCAAACTGACTTTCACCAATAACTTCAGTGATAACCGTAGACAATCTTCTGGCAAGGACCTTAGATATAATCTTATAGATGCTTCCAACAAGGCTGATTGGCCTATAATCCGAGATGGAGGAGGGACTAGCACATTTTGGTATAAGAGAGATGAATGAGGAGTTGATCTTTTTGTCAAAGGACCCGGAGTGGAAGAAATCATCAAAGATTTTCAAAAGGTCAGTTCTGACAATATCCCAGTTCTTCTTGAAAAAGTGAAGGTTGAAACCATCCGGCCCTGGTGATTTGTTTCCGTCCGAGACATTGATGGCTTCAAAGATCTCTTCTGAAGTAAAAGGAGTCTCAAGAAATATTCTACTGGAATCGGAAAGAGAGTTGAACCTGCCATCAAAGTTCCTAATTTTCAAAGCATTTCTGGAATTGTACAAGTTCTCAAAGTGGGATGAAATGAAGGATTTGATCTCACTCGGATCGGTTATAGTGAAATTATTGTGCTGGATACTTGTAATGTTGTTAGAAGCGTTCCTCATAGCAACCTTCTGATGAAAGAACCTTGAGTTTTTATCACCATTATTAAGCCAGTTGACTCTGGATTTCTGATGTAGCGACCTCTCCTCAGCCCGCATTAGTTTCCAAAGCTCCCCTTTGCAGTGATAAAGCTTATTTCTGAGACTTTCATTTTCCCCATTAACAGCTAGGAGTTCCTCCATTTGCTGGATTTCTACCTCCAAAGAACTAATAGAGGCAGCAAGATTTCCAAATTTTGTGCTTGCCCATGCCTTTAGCGCTGGTTTGAGAGATTTAAGTTTCTCCCAAAGATTTGAGTTTTGAGAATTGCTCCAAACTGTCTTAACCATTAGTTTGAAATCATCATCCTCGCACCAAAAATTAAAAAGTTTGAAAGGTTTGGGGCCCCAATCAACTTCCTCGCAACCTAGAAGGATGGGATTATGGTCGGAGAGGGATCTGGGAAGGGCTTTTTGAAACACGTTTGGGAAAGTTGTTAAAAAAATAGGGGCAAAGAGGAAACGGTCAATACGGCTGAAAGAAGGAGGAGAAGAGTTTTCGAACCAAGTGAAATTACTCCCAACTAAAGGCAGATCCACTAGCGCCCAATCCTCAATAAAATCGTTGAAGACACCAAGAGCAGTATCATTAGAAAGAGTCCCCGACCTCTCCTCTTCTGATTTGACCACGTTGAAATCACCGCAAATACAAGTGGGGACATTGAGAACAGAAAGATGCATAGAGAGCTCCTCAAAGAAAACTCGCCGCTCTTCATCATTATTGGGGGCATACACATTAACAAAAGCACATTTCATATCCAGTGCCCTAATTGATCCCAGAATAATCAAGATTCTTTGGGATATAATGGAAGAATCCATCTGGAAAAAATCGTCTCTCCATATAGAGATAAGGCCTCCGGCTTTTCCAACTGCATCAGCAAAAACACCATGGATGTTACCTTCCCCCCAAATGAGCCTAAACTGTTTAGGATCAAAACCTTCGCACTTGGATTCCTGTAGATGAATTTTTTTCTTTCGAAATCAACTTTCTGATGGCTCTCCTTTTCTCTTTGGAGCCGATTCCTCTAATATTCCATGATATAATACGCATAACAGAAAATACATGCAGGTACAAAAAAGGAACCCTAGATCTCTATGGATCCCCAACCTGTGGCCCATGGATCATACCCAGTTCACGTCGGACCACTTCTGGATCCACATCAAACTCCACCCCTACCTGTTTACACAAATTGATATTTTCATCAATTTTCCTATTCAAGATGTGCCGATTTGGGCTAGAATGTGGAGAAGATGGGCTTTGGTTAAGGCCTAGATTTGAATCAAAATTAACAATGTCAATGTTAGCCAAATTCTTCCTTTTGTTCCCTTTATTTCTACGAACGGTAATCCATGACTTTTTAGATACAATAGGGGACCCACTAGATTCTGGTACCCAAGACTGATGCTCCCCTGATCCAATTAAATATCTGGAAAAGGCATTTTCTAACCTTGGACTTTCCAAGTTGTTTGGCTCATCCTCCAAAGGACAGCTAGCCGACAAACTACAATCTTCATTTAAGTTGTCGACAAAATTATTAATTTCCTTGCTGCTTCCCGAAATAGCTTCTCTGTTTTCCATAAGCCTGAGTGACACCGACGGTGTGGAATGTGCCGGTGACTCTCTGCTTTCTCCACTACTAAGCGATCCATCTACTCTGATAGAACCTGGTGCAGCCATGTAAGTAGAACATATGATTTTGAATGGGATGTTACTAACTTTGCCTGATATTACATTGGGGATATCACCCTTACTCTCCACTTCAACCAAAATCCATGCAGCTCTAAATGATTCTCTGGAAAGAGTACTTTCATGAGTCTTTATGAATTTTCCCCAACCATTACCCAGTCTCTGAAAGAAGTCTTGATGCCAAAGAAGAAGAGGAACCTCTTCGAGCTTAATCCAAAGTAAAGCTGCTCTATCAGTGTCATCATCCCACCAAGTTATGAGTTCATCAAAAAACCTTAAAAGAGTACGTGAGTGGCTTTTAAGGGATGCCTCCATGGATTCAGATGAGGGGAATGTAATAAGAGTTTTTAAATTACTCAGACAAGCCTTCCTTGCTCAGCACCTTCTTTACCTCAATGCAATCAACCCCTCCATAGGATTTGCCTACCATGCTTCTGTTCAGCCATTCGAGATCATCTTTGGGAATATCAATATCAAGCAGAAGAGGAGCAAGCGACCTGTCAGCAGCAGACGGAGAACTAGTGCTAGGTGGATTCTGTAGAGGTGAAGAATATTCCAACCCATTCGCTGAAGTAGCCTTATTAGATCCACAAAGAGCTTCCTTGAAGGATCTATTATCAACCCGAGCCGTCTTTATAGGGGAGGAGCGATTTGGATCCTTGGAAGAGGGAGATTCATCTGACTTGGCAAGAGAGACAGAAATGAACTAGCCTAAAGATTTAAGATTGGCACCTGATTCCACGGCCTTCTGAGCTTCATGTTGCTTCCTATACCTCACGAAACCATAGCCAAAACCCTTTCTAGACCTTCTTTGGAAAGTTGGAATACAAGCATCGACAACTACTCCAAAATATGAAAAGCTTTTCCACAACATCCCCAGGGATACATCTCTGCCAATACCTCCTACAAAAACAAAAAAAAGCTTTGACTTCCATTTTGAACTATTAGATTTATCACCTAAAGGTCTATTTTTTGGAACCCAAGTCTGCTTGGAACAATCATTTGATTTCTGATATCCAAAGGAGGCTTTTGAAATCCCTTGGCTAGACCCGACCATGCCTCGACCCTTAGATCTTCCTCTGAAGGTTTTCTCCCTTTTTTCCTGTTCATGCCACCCTCTATTCACCACTCTATTCACTGGAATAATCGGTCTTAGGTTATCATCAAAGAAAAATCTTCCTCCAATCTGTTCTGATCTACTTGCTGCTGTGGTTTCTCCTCTTTTCCGCCGTTCTCCATGACCGAAAATCTTACTGAAATCTCTGACTCTTGACCTCCCTCTCTCTCTCATCTCACTCTCTCTCAAAAGTGCAGTACTATATATAGACTATAGTAAGACTATAGTAATAGTTACTCCTTTTGTAATAGTTAATAATACTCCTTTTGTCGTAATTAGATGTATTTTTTGTCAATTAACACCAAATTTTGACCATTATTTATAAAAAATATTTAAAATAAAATAATTTTTAAAAATAACACTTATAAATTTTGAATTACAAACTTTTTAACATATTTTTTTAAATTAAATTTTACATTTTTTTATAAACAATGATCAAAGTTTGATGTTGGTTGACCAACAGTGGATATCTAATTAGAGACAGAGGGAGTAGATCTTAGTAGTATATATATACGGTCAACCAGAAAAATATAATTATTATTATGACAATATTATTTTTCTATCAAATTTAAAACAAAATAGTTCAGTACCACCCAATAATAGTCAAGCTAAGCCAATCTCCCCTAATTCACGAAATGTCCCCCTCACAACTCGTTAGCCTTCAGCCAACACAAGTCATAACCGAACGGTGTACTATACACGTGAGACACATACATTTGACGTGGTCATTCAACTCATAAAAACCAAATGGTGTACTATACACGTGAGCTAGGCGTACGAATTCCATCTCTTGAAGAGGTGTACGGCACATATTCCTTAGCTTCTTGAAACGAACTAAGTAGTCTTCGGCCGATTCACCTTTCTTTTGATAAAGGCGGGATAAATCAGCCATGGAGACCTCAGGTTCAGTCCTATAGAACTGAGTATGGAATAACCTTTCCATCTCTTCCCAAAATCTCACAGAGTTAGGCGGTAGGTTGATATACCATGTGAACGCCGCTTCAGTGACGGAATTAGGAAAGAGACGAAGCTTGTGGTATCCAGAGTTAGCCTCTCCACATTGCACGGTGAAACGAGCAATGTGTTCCAAAGTCAACTGCTCACTTGAAGTTCCAGAGAAACAAGTGAAGTCAGGGACCTTGTATCCTTGAGGGAGTGGATAAAGTCTATCATACTCCTCAGAATAGGGCTTCTGGAAGGATGGTCGTCCAATCCTTCGGTATGCTGGACCAATCATATCCTCAATTATTTCTCTAAGGTGATTCTGATTGACTGGTCCTTCTTGAAGAGGATGGCGTGGAAGAGGATAGCGTTGATGGTCATTCCTTGCTCTATTGCCATTACCAATCCTCACATGAGGTGGTACATAGGCTGCAGCACGAGGTTTAACATTTTTAAGTTCCTCATCCGTGTTATCAGCAGCGTTATCACCAACATCCTGTTGGATCAAGAGGTTGTTTTCACCTCCAAGCCCAGGTTGGATAACTCCCTGAGGGATAGGAGGTGGAGGTGGAACCTGTTGGTTGTTCACCCCTTGGTTGAGTTGTTGGAGGGGCAGGACGCCAGGCTGGGCATTAACTAGCTGTTGGTTTTGCCCCCCGAGGCTTGGCCTCCAAGTCTACCTTCCAATATGTTGATGATCTGCTGGATGTTCTCCTGGGAGTCTGCTCTTTGCTGAGCTAACTATTGCATCAAGCGTTCTTGAGAGTTATCAAACTTCTCAAGTGACAGAGCAATAGCATTAAGAGCTTTCCACAGGCTACCATCATTCAACTTAAGAGGGGAGTCAACTTACTCATCTCTCAGTCCAGTAGATCCAAGTGGATTCTGGTTTGAGGAGTCTTGAGGTTTTTTTATCTCCTCCCTTAGGTGGCATAGCTAGGTGGTAAGAGTGCGAGAAAAGTAAATAGAAAGAAAGTCTTCAAACGTTGAGATGGGAAGACAGGATGCTGTGTCCCACCTAGAACGTGGAATGAGCCGTCGGTGTGGACCTCCTAGAGGTGGGCACTTTCGACTAGAGAGAGAAAGTAAGAGGAAATTAAGAGAGATGGGCAAGATGCTTCTTGGAAACGCCTTGAGTAGGAAGTCAAACCTTGTTGAGTCCCACTAGGCGTGCCAAAAAGAGATGTTGCACCAAAAATCTCTTTGGAGAGTTTCTGCGAAAACTACTTAATGACAGCATAGGGGCGTGCTAGTCAATTTGCTGAAATTGACAAAGAGAGCGTAAACAACAAGATCTGGTGCAAAAAACGCAGCAGATTAGAAGATCAGAGCGATTTGTGGGGATTGGATCAAAGTCACACCGGAGCATTTGAATCATTGGACCCACAAGAATAAGACTTCCTAAAAAAGAGCGTTTCAAGAGCGGAGATTGATTGAAATTGAGATTGAAATAGAGGAAAAGAGGAATTTGATTGCTGTCTTTTCAAAAGTAAACAAGAGATTGATGTTTTTACGTCCGGAGACAAGATTGAACAAGGAAAATATAAAGAACGAGTAAGAACTCGTTATGAACAAGAGTAAAAAGGCGCGGAGCCTGAGAGAAAATTGCGCTGGGCAAGTTTTTGAGACGAGTGATCTCTGTGAGTTGTGAGAACTGCCTTTGAAACTCTAGAACTGGTTCCTTTATATAGGGTGCGGCATGGGCCTGAAATCTGGTGGGCTTTACTTGCTGAGGAAGTCGAACTCTTCTGATTGGTCAGAGGAAACTTCCAGGAAGTTGCAGTGAAGCTTCCCTCTCCTTCTGATTGCTGCAACAGGTGATAGGAGGAAGATGAAGGATGAGTGAGGCGTCCCTCATAGTGTGATAGGCGACTTCCTCCTCATTGTAACAGGTAGCATGACGTACTAGGTAGCATGAAGTGCTGGATAACATCTGCTGTATCAGGTGTAGTCTCTATTACCTCCAATGAGCTGAAATCACTTGATTGGCTGAGAGGTAACCTTGGGTCTTGGAACTAAGTACCTTAGCCACGAAATTACTCATACTTATCCATATTTAACTCTTCAAATCGTAAAAATATCTTTTAATTAAGAACCATGGTTAAACCAGGGTGATAAAGCCACTTTGTCCTTAATTGAAAAGAGTGTAAAAGTTGAAAACAAGCTTGTATTGAGCCTAAACTTCACCAGTAAGGTTTGTATATCAGCCATAGACCATGGTAAAAATCTTGGCTTGATTCGAGCCTCCCTTCATAGCAAACTGGACTTCACACCTCAAACTATCCTTAAATGAAAAACTAGCATAAGTTTTTCATTCTAAGTCTGAATGAGCTGAAACTTTTCCAAGGGACTTAGATTCTCTCCAAAAGACTATGGAAAAAATTCTAAGTAAAACCGAGCTCCCCTTGATAGTGAACTGACTTCTCACCTCAAAATGTCCTTATTGAAAAACTTGAATAAGTTTTTCATTCTAAGTCTGTTTGAGATGAAATTTGGCCAAGAGACTTATATTATCTCCACAAACTTATGGAAAAAATTCTAAGTAAAACCGAACTCCCCTTGATAGTGAACTGACTTCTCACCTCAAATTGTCCTTAACTGAAAAACTTGCATAAGTTTTTCATTCTAAGTCTGTTTGAGATGAAATTTGGCCAAGAGACTTATATTATCTCCACAAACTTATTGAAAAAAATTCTAAGTAAAACCGAACTCCCTATCATGGTGAAGTGGTTTCTCACCCCAAACTGTCCTTAAATGAAAAACTTGCATAAGTTTTTCATTTTAAGTCCGTTTGAGATGAAACTTAGCCAAGATGGTGCACGTGAACCAAAGATCATCATGGTCTAACCCCCTGTTGGAGCCGCATCCCCTAGCTAGATCAATTTCCTTGATTTTGCTTTTTTGTCCTTAAATGAACAAAATACAAGTTTGCCTCCCAGGGGAGTACTACTAGTTGGGCTGCCTGATCACTATACCAGGGTGATCACGTATGAGGGGTGTGAGTGATAAAATCCCACGCCTCCCTTAGTTCAGTGAGCGTTTCACTTGCTGACAAAATCTTGCTCTCTGCCTCCTCAGAGCAAGGGGTGAGGAGACTGCTTCCTATGACTAGGGTGGCCTTCCCTGGGTATGGGAAAGACTTAGATTATTTTATTTCATGATAATTTCTCCCACCTACATGGTCAGGTAGCATACAACTCCCTTCCTTATTCCCTGCCTGCATTATCAGGTTGCAGTATCTAAGGAAGCTACTCTCTTGTGGCCTGTCACACCACACCCATAGGCAGGGGCGGCATACATGGAGGAATTAATAATAATTATTCCAAAAATAATAATTATTAATTAATTTAATTATTAATTTCGGCCCTTGCTTAATTAATTACAAGATTTTCCTAATTCTGATAAAATCAGGGTGGTGCAGAGACTAAGTATCATCAAGATTTTTGATTAAATCTTGACCACTCATCTTTATGTAATCATGTCCTAATTCACTTTATGTAAAGACCAATTAACCTCAATTATAAATTGAGGTATAAACACATTCAATTTTTTTTTTAGGTTTTTATCATTTTACATCATTACATGCGTCATAAATTTTAGGAAGAATTAGGACATGATATTGAAAACCAAACAAAAAAATTTCACTTTCAAAGAAAAGATGTGAAATTCTACGAAATGACCGTGAAAAATTCATTGGAGAGATTCCCATATGCTACTAGGTTAAGAAGTAGAAGTAGACAAGTACCAAGCTACTACTACGGTCATGACCGAGTCTGAGATACACCCCCGGGCGCGTAGATACGTATGCATTTTTTTTTTTCCAATAATTCTGCCTAGGGACTAGGATTATATTATGGGAGGCTGACGAGGCTCTTTGTCGACAATGATACAAGGTACCTGCAATCCAAGTTCTTTGGGTTGACAATTATGCCCTCGTCAATTAGAGGTGTCATCATATTATTTGATGCTCTTGAAGTTTGCCCAACGTACCACAACGCCCTTAGCTTACCATAACCTTTTTCTTCTTAATTTTTTTTTGGATAAAAAACATTAATTTCATTTCGTACGCCAATTGCTAACTTTGGATATTTTAATTTTGCAATTAATGGGTTGACTTTTGAACGGTCAACCTGTCTAGATGCAGTTTCTTACATGCTGGCTGATAACTTTTTATTTTTTTTTTAAATTTAATTACTAACTACTACGTACATAAGTAGACTGTTAGTACTATGTAAGTTGTTTTACCGCTGAATTGCAATTTGCAAATTAGTCCTTAATCATAGAATTATTATTAATTAAGGCTTCTTATATGTAACTGTTTCACCACCGTTTTGGATCCAAACGGAGTTTAAGTGAAAATTTTGTTTCAATCACTGCTCTAATAATCTCACATATGTACAATATCTAATCTAATCTGTATAGTTTAATCTCATCTGTACTGTTGCTAAACAATGTCAATCGCACTACTACTGCACTGTTCTACAAAACTCAGCCTAAGTTAAAAGGATACTATTGCAGAGAGTCTAAATTAACCTCACTTTTGTATCGCATCACTTATAATACACCGTAGAATATTTAATTAAGAAAAATCCCCTTTTTTAAAAGGGCAAATCATATAAATATAAATATATATTGCTATATATATTGTGACCATGACTAGTGTATTAATTAGGAAGATTAATCGAATCTACCACAACTGCATGCATGCGCTTTATTGATTTTATTACTACAATTTATAGAGAATTTTTGCTGCTGGAGATTTTGTTCGTACGTAGTGTGAAAAAGATGGTTACTAGTTATAGCCCGAGATCAAGTGACTTTTTGTTGATGGAATAATTAATTAATTCTAATTATATACTAGTATCTAGCTAGTCAAGTAGTTTAAATTTCTAAATTATAAGCACAAACAAAAGTTTAGTTTAGGAGTTGGGGGCGTCCAGTTGTGAAATCAAATGTGAATGATTTGGGAATTGAATAAGGATTTTATCCACTTCTTACTTACTTTCTTTCTCTTTTCTTATTTTGGATTTTGCTATGAAAAAGTACTCGGTTCCAGCTATGAGTTGTTTTTTTTCCCCAATCTCCCACTATTACAAGTTTGTGACATTTGAAGACGATATTCACTCGGTTGTTTCCTTTGCCTATACCCCAACTTTTAAAAGGAAAACAAAATCATAAATAATGTCATCATTTTTAGTCCAAATGGATTTTCCATAATACTAAAACCTAATTAGACAGTGATAAGGAAGTGGAATTGAGATCATGATCAAAGACAAGATCAAGCCAAGATTCTCCCTTCTCCTGATATGATGATGGCAAATTAAAGGATTGTGTTGTGGATCCATCACTCTCAAAAAAGGTCCCATCATTTTGCAGAATTTGACATCAGCAGCTAACGAATTCTGTTTTTGCCTTTTGTCTCTCAAAGATTGTGGCTATGAGATTTTTGGCCATGTGTACCTTTTTTTGCAGCTAATAAGCCGATCCCTTGGCCTTCATCATCAAACACTAAAAAAAGCCCAAAAATATCAAATATCAGCATCCCATCATCCCCAAAAGATTTTCTTTCCAATAATGTTAAATCAGCTTCTTATATAGCAGCATTAGCTGGTATCAATTCTCTGCACCAACAACATATCTAATACTATCACTGATTAAAGTGTGTACGTTTATTGACTGGATTTTATGCAATTTAGTTAGTACACCACCTAAGTGTACTTTGACTCAAATTTCCTCTTTTCCTTCAATTCCTTTTTGTTTTTTAGGTGACCATTTTGACCGGAATCAATTCTCTCAATTATTATGATCATTATGATTATACACATATAATATACTCACTCTCTTCTGGTGCTTCCCAAATCCAAATCTGAATCCGAATCCCAATCCTATCCGGAAAATATGTGTGTAATGTTGTAATACTAACTAAGCTACTTAATATCACTGTATCTGCAATGCATGTTTCAGTAGTTCAGTTTATTTCTAAGTCTGATGCTATTAGGGATTGAATCCTAGACACTGCAATTAAGAATTCGGCACTCTACCATCAGTTAAAATGTTCGATGGCAATTTGTGCTATAATATTACTCCCTGGTAATTATAACAAAAAATAAAATGATGATTAACTTAATTTGAATTTTCCAATTGATAACAAATGAGTATACAGTAGTAATAAGGTTAATTAAATGCATGACAGCCCATGGCGTATGGGTGCAGAGACGTATGTAATATAGTGATTGTATCCTATGGGCCAAGGCAAAACCACTAGGAAAACAAAACCATGGACAACCCCAGTTTCAGTTTCAGTTTGCAACAAAAATTGTAGGCTGGTTACCTGTTTTTGTAATCAAGATAAGTTTCAACTTTTCGAGCACTGTTTCCAGTGTTTAATGTGGCCCTTCCCTGCCCCCTTTCTCAATACTATACTATATATATATTGTTTGTGCAATGTTCATTAATTAACATTTAGCAACCAAATTCATTCCAAATATTTTAATATGCTCTTTCTCCCTCCCCTGTCTCTCTAATTTTTATAATAATAACAGGCTTAATTATTTAATTTATATTCCATCTTTCTTTATTCTGAATGAGACAATGTGGAATGGGATGGGATTAGAAGCCAAAAACACATATATATCAATCCACTTTCTCTACCCCACTTTGATTTATTTATCAATATACTCTTTTTGTTGTTTTGCAACTTCTGGGGTGGATACCACTTCTCCCTCATTTAATTAATCAAATCCACTTTTTGAATGATGTTATATAATCAAACCCCAGTGACCCTACCTGTTTTAATAATTTATAGTTAAGTACTAATTAAGCAAATTAAGATCAAAATAATAAAAGAACTAGTGATCATCAAAATTCATGAGAAATTAATTAGCAAATATATATAACCCCATGAATATTACTGCACAATCTATAGTAAGCAGGCGCATGCCCTTATATTATTAATCATATATATACTGATATTCTGATTAATTAATTAAATCATCAAATTGATTTCATGCTAATCACTTTCTTTACAAGTCATTCTCTGACTTT